ATAGTGGGAATAGTGCAGGCTATAGATGTATTTCCGGAACTCTTCAGCTAAAAGGTGTATACATTACTCCTACGTAATAGCCTTTTATAACTGTGGCATTAGCCATGATATTTCTACTTGCAAAATACATCATTCCCACTGCTGCATTACTAAACAACAATAAGGGTTTTATAGACATTTTAATATGCCAGTTACAGAGATATTAAGTCATGTAAATAACACAAGTTGAGTAATACATGTGCATTTAGCACAGGAACAACTTCTGATGTACTTAAAATACAACTAGCATATGTTTTCTAAACCAATGGATCACAAGATAGTATAGACTGGTTTTTAGTTAGGTCCATGTACCAAAATGTCTGACTTATCATTAATGCTACCATTACCACTACTATTACCACTACTGCAGTGTATGGTGAAAATAAAAAAGTTGGCAGGATTTAAATGAAGCAATGTGTCGGAGGATCAAGTTTGAAACCAAGTTACATTGTGGTTGACTTATTAAAATAAGAGTAGAATAGGCCAAACCAGCTGCTGACAAGCCTGAAGTACTCCCATCACAACTCAATACAATTTTCAGGTTGCAGGGATTGTAGTCCACATACATGATTTCTCTCATTAAGCCCTGATGAAGGGGGTATGTTTTGGACCCCTGAAAAGCACTGGCTACTCTACTTGAATGTCTCCTGACCCTAATGTATTTGGACTATTTTAATTAGTGTGGCACTTCTATTCCTACATCTACTGTGTTCACTGATGAGCCAGGGATACTGTGGAGATCCTTGGGTTGTTAAAGGAGAACTATGGGGTCAGTGTTTTTCCCCATAGTTCTCCTTGGGGTAACGGGAGGACACAAACTAGCGTCCTCCCGTTACCCTAAGCTCAGTATACCGGGAGCTACAGCTCGCGGTATACTGAGACGCCGCACCTGGAGCGGATCCCGACTTAGATGACGGGATCCGCCCAGCTGCGTGAGTGACAGCTGGCTCTGCCTATCTAGAGGCAGAGCCAGCTGTACCCGCCCCCTCCCCCGTCCGTTCCGCCAGTCAGCGCTGGCAGATTGGAGCGGGGAGAGGGGAATCCAGCCCCTCCCCCTGTCACGGCAGAGAGCCGTGACAGGATCGAGAGGTGAGGGAACCCGGTATGTGTTCTCTCACCTCCCGATCTACTGAGCCGACCTGTGACAGTCTCATTGTCACAGGTAGGCTTAGAACTATGAGGTGAGTGGAAATCACTCATCTCATAGTTCTCCTTTAAAGCTGCCTACCCGTCAGCCAAATCACACATGTTCACATAACCTAACTACTGATGGATTAGAAACACCAAGACCATAACCACAGGGGTCCAGTGCTTTCTTTCTACACTTCCAAGTAGCAAAAAAAACCTGACAACTCTTCCCAACTCTACCCAAAACTAAAAAAAAAGGTTTTGCCTAGAGATATACTAGAGCAGAAAATGTAACTACATATCTATGAGCGCAAAATTGAGAACACATTCTAGCAGGCTAACAGCGCCAACAACATTGTAACTTTCATATAACATGTGATCTATAGTTTCCTCAATTTCTAAGGACAACATGTTAGAACATGAAAATCTGTTTTTCAAGATGTTTATTTTGCCGTTTTATAATATATAACAAACCAAAGAAAAACAGACAATCACACTACATACACTAAAACAACATAAGACATTACAATATGACACAATACAGCAAGTATAAGCAATATCAAGTATAAGAAACTGTGTAGATAAATATCACGGTATGAGGGAAGAGGCTTTCCAATGGAGAGGAAACCTCTTTAAAGGAGCTGCCCTTGGCAGGGGATCTTTTCGGACCAGTTAACTGCATAAACAACTTAAAGGGTTATTAAACCCTCAGCGTGTTTTTGCATATATCTCCTGCTAGCAAGCAGTAGATGTATGCAAAAACTTTTTAAAAAAACACCTTTTTAAACAGGTTTAAACTTACCAGTGTCTTTGCCGCGTGCTCCTGTCCGAACATCTGAAGAGTCTCGGGCGGCCACAAAGGATCTTGGGGCGGGCGCATGCGCAGTTCAGATGTTCGGCCAGGAGACAAGGAGAGACACAAGGTAGGTCTATGGAGCGGCGTGCACCCGCACAGACACAGTGGGACAGTAAATGACAGTTAGCACAGAGGAGTCAGTGCTGGATCGGAGACCCGCACCAGTGCTCGAGTGACATCTGAAAAATACATTAAGAAGAAGATGATCGGATTCAGAGGCATGATTTAAGGTAAGTCCATACACTAACATTGAGGGGGGGGGGGGGGAATTATCCTTTAATGCACTTTAATTAAAATGATAAAACTGTTAATGGAATAAAGAAACAAAGGATGCATATAGCTTCTGTCTTGGCACCCAGTAATGTTGATGCAATAATGTTATGCTTTAGAAATAAGCAGGGTTTGTGTAGGGCATCTCTGTTCATTTATTTCTGGCTCCTATACCTGTAATTGTTCCAGATGAAAGAACAGGGCATACTGCTATTTGCACAACATAGAAGATACAAAGTACAAAAAAGCAGAATTGTGTACTGCTAAGCATCTACAGTAGGAATCAAGATTTTTTTTCAGGGCTAAAAAAGAACAATGCATGACATTTTTAATGAGCCAATAAAGTCCTCAATTAATTCATTGAAATTTCACTTCCTCTTACTCATTTATCATGTGAATTAAGTGCGTACAGTTTGCCATAATGTTTTGATTATACTGGCACATGCCAAGGAACGTGAGAACCTGTTACTATCTCCACAAAGAATTTCATTTCATTAAGGTTACCTAGGAAATGATCTATATCAAGGAATATTAGTTTTCCTCCCTCTGCACTGCTTCTGAGATTCGGGTTTGAAGAGTAAGGTTTTGGGGTGCTGGATTCCCAGGTATAATTCAAATTCCCCTGTGGGGGATGTTTTCTGGTATTATCAATGGATCTATACAGGAAAGAGAGCACATAACAGAAGTGGATTCCAGATATAACTTATTATTCACAGTTTCTTTATACTCAATGAGGGGGAATTTATCAAAACTGGAGAAGACAAAATCTGGAACAGCCGTGCAAGGCAACCAATCAGCTTCTCTCTTTCATTTTCAAATCTTAACTGAACAGACTGAAGAGAGAGGCTGTTTGGTTACTATGGGTAACTGCTCCAGATTTTGTCTGCTTCATCAGGGTTACAATACAACATACAGGGGGGAATTTATCAAAACTGGAACAGACGAGATCTGGAGCAGTTGCCCATGGCAACCAATCAGCATCTCTCTTCAGTTTGCTTAGGTAAGATTTGAAAATGAGACAGAGAAGCCGATTGGTTGCAGTGCAAATCTGCTACAGATTTTTGTCTGCTTTAGTGTTAATTAATTCCCCCCACTGTACATACACTTTAATTTTACAGCCCCCATGGCTCAAATGAAAAACTCTTACTAAAAAGTGGTAAAAATGAGGCATTGTAGAAATAGTTTTTTTTTTTAATACTGGATGCTCAAAATCCCACAAGAATGCACTCCTGCAATGTGCTAGAACACTTTCTCACAGGATCCTGAGCACCCAGATTTTTGCAGCAGATGGTCTGGTGATGTCACCAGTGCCTCAGGAGGTAGATGAAAGCAGGGATCAGAGGTCTGTAGTTTTTGCTACAATGTCTTATTTTTGGCACTCCTCTTTTGTAAGAGTTTATTATTTGGGGAGGGGGGCTGTCATTAAGCAGACCTTGCATTTTCAAGTAAGGTCTACCTGAATATCACTTAATGACATGGTGTTGCTATTGATTTAATATATCGCTGTTCAGTTGCTAACTTCATATATACAGTAAACTCTGTTATCCGGTAATCAACTAACCTGAATTCTCATATAACCAGCAAAAAAATCCACTGTGTACTCATTGTTCTGCTGATCTGCGGCATGTATTATCCTGGAAACGATCGTGCGTCCATTTGTGTTAATTTGCTTTTGATTACTGCATTTCAATATATGAAGTCAATACAGAGTTTATGTTACAGCATGGTATAGTATGGGGTATTGCATTTGTTAGACCTATTTTTAATACTAACTGTCAAGCAACCGGAAACTACATTTATCCAGAATCTACCAATCCCCGTGGATGCCAGATAACGGGGAGTTTACTGTATTTTGTATTCTAGCCCTGATGAAGTGGACAGCTCAAAACCCCTGAAACGCATTGAGTTTTTTAGGGATACTGTTAAAAATGTCTGGACTCTAATACATGTTTGGTGCTCTTTTTCCTGTATACCTGATGAGTTATTGCGAAGGGGCAAACTTTGCGAAGGACCTTGCTGCCAAACAACCAGCTTCAGTCTGCAGTTTGACCTCCACCCCACATTATATTACAAGAGAATAAAAAATTGGCTTTGTACCATAACACTGGGGTGCAAATAATAAATTATTTTAAGAAACGATGGGCAAAATGTGTTTGTTATGTGTGAAATGGTGGCATTACCCATTTAATATAATGGACTATGTCTGGCGAGGAATTTCTCAGTGACTCTTTAGAATCTCATTTACAGTATTAGAGCTGCATAGTCAAATTCATCACATAAGCACCAGAAGAGACGGTGCAAAATGGTTGGAACACTCAGTTTCAAGATATATAGTAAATCTTTGTAGTTACAAACATTGATTTTATATGTGCACAGCTAAATTGTATGGCTAAATGTTATAGCTAACATTCCAGATTTACATTCTGGCAAGCTGAATTGCATGCTTGCCAATGGAATATTTGAGAGATATGGTAAGTTGGTGGGTAAGTCAAATCATCACTGCCCAAACCCTAATTAAATACAATTTTTAAGATTAGTTTATAAGATTATTTGCACTTAACTGACCGCTTTAAAGCACAGAGCCTGAAGTTTGAAGTCCAACTCTGGACTCCCCTCCAGTCCCCCC